TGTCACATTACCTCCCCGTTAAAGGAAATTTCGACCCGAAATTGAGTTAGTACTGGTAGTACAAGGGATTTTATAAATAGTAATATAGTTTCATGGTATGATCCATGCCTGGTCCTTCTATATCACCTTGTGCATACAAGTCGTATATAATCAATATTGAGTAGACAGTCGAATAAGTGGTTCTACCCTAAGCCCACAACCAAACAAGGAACAGGACGTAAAGTGGAATCACAAATCCTAAGTATGTAGAATCTTAATTATATAAAACCCTAACGTATACACTTAGCAATCATATATTACCAACAAGAGTCCTTAGTTTCTACATGAATGATGTGATTAGTTCGGGTGAGAAAGAAACTAGGGAGTACTTTTGCCATATCAATAACTAGTAATGTACTTACGTGGTGCATGATCCCTGGCTGGTCCTTCTACATTCCCTTGGTGTATACAAGTCGTATATAATCAAGATCGAATAGACAGCCAAATAAGTGATTCTACCCTAAGCCCACAACCAAACAAGGAACAGGAAGTAAAGCGGAATCACGAATCCTAAGTCTGTAGAATCTTAATTATATACAACCCTAACGTGTAGGTTTCATAAAGTTTCTATGTGAATGGAATGATTAACTTGGGTGATAAGGCAACTAGCAAGTACTTTTTGTTATAGCTACTGTGTAGGTTTCATAAAGTTTGCATTTATATTCTGTCGCGTGTTGAAACCTATGGTCGATAAAGCTTTAATTAGCACTAGTATCCTAGGCCTAAACATTGTTGTTACAAAACGTACCAATAACCACAGGTGATTCTGGAAGAGCCTCTCCTGTTGTGATCATAATTACCCTTCCATTGCCACCTTGGTTCTTTAGTTGTGGGCAGTCCTTCCTAAAATGCCCTGGCTGATTGCACTCGTAACAGTTACGGCTTCCTTCTGCTGTAATGGTTGGGGTTCTTCTACAGTACCTCGAGATGTGACCTCTCATGTTACACTTCTTGCAGATCACCTCCCTGTAATTTCCGACATGGTGGAAATTGCATTTTACACAATGAGGTAAAGTCCCAGAGTAGGACTTAGTTAGGGTGGGAGTATTAGTAACTGCGGTGTAGACATGTAATGGTTCTGGTTCAAGCTTCTGATGCTTGGAGCCATCCTTTGTTTCCCCATGAAACTTCCTTTTGGTGCCTCCAGTGTGCTTCTTCTCTGTCGGTGGGGTCATGGTACCCTGCCGGACACACTGTTCAGTAAACTGATAGGCTAATTGGTTAGCACTATCGAAAGTGGAGTGTTTGGATGCCGTCACCGGACCTTGAACAGGTGAAGGTAGTCCCCAAATGTACCTTTCAATCTTCCTATCTTCCAGGGTCACCATTCCTGGGCAAAGGTTTCCAAGGTCATTGAATCGAGAGGTGTAGGTAGCTACTTCTGATCCTTTCATGACAAGGTTCCAAAGCTCTTGCTCTAGAGCCTGTATCTATTGTCGGGGACAATACTCCTTGGTCATTAGTTGCTTCAGGGATTCCCAGCCCATGGCATAAGCTTCAACGATTCCCATGGACTTCGCATGGTTATTCCACCAAGTCAAGGCGGAGTCCATCAACGTGCAGGTAGCATACTTGACCCTACAATCATCAGGGCAAGCACTGATGTGGAAGACAACTTCAGTCTTTTTTATCCAACGGGATAGCCCAACAGCTCCTTCTATTCCGTAGAAGGGTCGAGGTTTGCAGCTCTTGAAATCCTTATAAGAGCAGTGTCTGTTGTTGCTTTGGTGAGTTGCGGGATTTCGACTTCCACTATTTCCAGTGTTTCTGTTTCGGGCTGCCTCGTATGCTGCCAAAGCCATAGCAATTCCTTGTGCGAACATGTTCTGCATCATGGTGGAATTCATTTGGAATGTTTGGTTTACATTTGTTACTTCTGGGTCTCCTCCTTGGTTTGGAGTTTCCACTGATGTTTGAGTTACTGGTGGGGTTTTCCTCGGGTAGCCTCGGGGAGTTGACGGTAGACGAACTCCTGGTTGCTTTCGTGGAGCCATCTCCTAATATGTTTAAAACGGACATGTTAAGTTGTGTTAATACTATAAAGTCCTAACAAGTATGCATGGGATAAATTTTATGATATATAGTTTTCTTGTGAAATCCTATAAATTATAAGAAAAAGAGGATTGATTTAGAAATCTTCTAGATTTCCAAATGATAAGGAAAAGGTGCTTGGTTTAGAAATCCTCTAGATTTCTAAAGGATAGAAAGGGAACCTTAATTGCTAATGAATTGTAAGTGTTTTGAAATGTATGTATGGATTCTAAGGTACTAGGTTGCTGTAGCGAATCTGGAGAACAACCTTTAATCTCTAAAACCTTCGACCGTTGTAGTCTGTCAGACTCCTTGCTCAGGGTTGGTTGTGCACCGGCCTGACCATAAATAACATAGGTGCGCATTCCAGATTTATTTATGGTATGACTTATGTACGATACTAACCCTAATTGAGGCGTCTGGCGTAAAGGTTTGAGTTGGTAGTTTTAGTTGAAAGGATGTTAAAATTTTATTAAGTGTTCTCATCGCGGGCCAGAGTATATAAAAACTCTTATATATTATGGTTGGTGGGATTTGTAGTATTATTAATTTTTTTTTGTTCTTCCCGAATACCGAGCACAGACGATGGCCGGACATCAAACGGTGTAAGTAGTCGAGAAATAGTAATACTTTTATTAGAAGCTAGTCTGCTATAGTTGTATTCCTCTTTCGAGGATACGAGTTATCTATAGCCAATTTAGCTCTGATACCATTATGTCACACCCCCGGCCAAGGCGGAACACGCCGGGAGTGGGACTATGTTCATGGATCACAGATAAACTGAATATGTAGCACAAGTACAACAATAAACAAAACTGCATGCGTTTGTATTCCGGAAAGGGTCCTTAGTTTCTATGTGAATGGCATGATTAACTTGGGTGATAAGGCAACTAGCAAGTACTTTTTGTTATAGCTACTGTGTAGGTTTCATACAGTTTGCATTTATATTTGTCGCATGTTGAAACCTATGGTCGATAAAGCTTTAATTAGCACTAGTATCCTAGGCCTAAACATTGTTGTTACAAAACGTACCACTAACCACAGGTGATTCTGGAAGAGCCTCTCCTGTTGTGATCATAAGTACCCTTCCATTGCCACCTTGGTTCTTTAGTTGTGGGCAGTCCTTCCTAAAATGCCCTGGCTGATTGCACTCGTAACAGTTACGGCTTCCTTCTGCTGTAATGGTTGGGGTTCTTCTACAGTACCTTGAGATGTGACCTCTCATGTTACACTTCTTGCAGATCACCTCCCTGCAATTTCCGACATGGTGAAAATTGCATTTTACACAATGAGGTAAAGTCCTAGAGTAGGACTTAGTTAGGGTGGGAGTATTAGTAACTGCGGTGTAGACATGTAATGGTCCTTAGTTTCTATGTGAATGGCATGATTAACTTGGGTGATAAGGCATAGATTACCGGAAAGGGTCCCCCCTGAAAACAGTGAAAAACAGTGAAAAACACCGAGGGCAGGATCATTTTGGCAATCAAGTTGTTCTGAAATCCAACAACCCGTGCGACCCTTCAAACCAGATTCCCCTTTATCGTAAGTAGTAGTGTAATAAATACTATTTTTTTTTACTTATGTTGCATAAAACACTACTAGAAAAAAAGCCTTTTACGACGCTCATTGCGCGTCGTAAAAGGCTCAGATGACGCGCAAATGCGCGTCAAGGAAGGCCCTGTCATAAAGAGAAACGACGCGCTTTTGCGCGTCGTCTATAGACGACGCGCATTTACGACGCTCTTTTACGACACACAATTATGTCGCGCATTTACGACACGCAATGCGTATCAAGAAAGGCCCTGTCATAAAGGAAGATGACACGCATTCGCGTGTCGTAACCTTACGACGCGCATGTTAATGACACGCAATGCGTATCAAGAAAGCCCCTGTCAAGAAAGGCCATGTCATAAATGAAGATGACACATATTTTTGCATATCATAATTTTAAATGTTTTAAAAAAAATATTATATTATTGATTTACTAATTTTCAAATTAAATAATACATTAAAAATCTCATAATACAAAATAAAATACGATAAATAACAAAGATAATTCATTTCACTAATATGTCAAATACAAATAATTATTCCAATATTGAGTAATTGTAATAAAAGAAATGAACTCAAGAGAAGTAGAATTTATATACAATCGCATTATCTAGCTTACTATGTACTAACAACTCTCTGTGTGTTTGCTTTTGCTTGAGTCTTGTTTCCTCCAAAGCTTCTAGCCATGCCAAAGTATGAGTCTTGCTTTTGCTTGAGTCTTGTTCATGTCCAAATCAAGTAAAACATTGCTAACTTATATTCATCAAGTCCTTACCTTCCTGGAACTGAATTGAAGTCACCACAGACGAACATTGGAATATCTGAACTTGCAATTATCTTTTTCAATCCTTTTAACAGTGTGTGAACCTTCAATTTTCACATTTATATAGTTTTTAAGTTATTAAACATGAAGAAAAAGTGTATATATACAAACAACAAGAGATACTTATCTTCTTTGTTTTCATTTCTCTTCGACAAAATCTACACTAAAAGAAATGTGCGCATGTATGTTAATGTCAAAATTCCTATGAGGGCAAAATGGTCATAATAATTCGGAACAATCTGGAAGAGTATTTTTGTTCGAGTGGAAAGTGAATCTTGATTTTATACATACATACATACATATATATATATATATATATATATATATATATATATATATATACATACACACACACAACACAATATCAATGTATGTTAGTGTGTGTGTGCTAACAACCGAGAAGCTAAAGAGCTTCCTAACATGGAAGATAACATGAAAGTAGCAAAAATGAAACCATGTGGAATGTCTTTACCATTTGGGCTTAAAGCAGGTGTCCATAGAAACACAAAAGTGTACATTGAACCCTCGAATAAAGATTGTATTGCACCCAATAATGCTATCTTTTCATCTGTTTATACACAAAAAAAAAGAAACTATTAGGTCCAAATTTAGAAGGTAGAATGATATGTATGCGTAATTACAAGATTGCCACTTTGGATTCTTCATGCTTCTCCTGTATATGCATTAGAACCATAGACAATATAAAGAGTGTATTTAGAAATGTAATATTATATCTCACCTTGTTGTGTTCAGCAACAAGCCATGATTCGAAGGCTGAAAAGAGGAGAGAGGTGGCAATCCCTCTCAATATACGCCCCACCATTAGAATTATGTACTGAGGTGAATGCTTGGTGATGCAATTTAGAATGTAGGTTATGCAGTAAGTAATTAAAGCTCTTTTTGCTTCTCCTTCTCCTTCAGAATGTAGGTGACAATCCCTACTCAATTTCTCCCTGACAGTTGATCCACGGTGTTTTTTTACTCGCATGTCAGAACTGTCATCAGAAGAAGTATCTTTCTTCACAGTTTTTTTCTTTTTACCTATAAAGAAACAAAGGTATCAGTTCAGCAACAAACTTTCACTTTTTGACTCATTTAGTCCCTAATCGGTTTTTTGAATTCAATTAGAGTACACTTAAAAACAAATTTAGTGGCCTACTGAGTCCAAAAAATGATTAGGTACTTGTAAGGTACAGTGGCTGAATAAATAATGATGCTTTCCTGTTTGTTTTTTAGAGTAAATAAGCCAAACTAACTGTACGTGACAAAATGACCATTTTACCCTTTCGTTTATGAATAATACAAACACAAGTGTTCATATGTAAAACATGGTTTCATGAAAATGACATGGAAGGTTCATCTATCTAAGAGCTGCAAAAGAGACTGAATATTTCTGTTTCGTTTTCTGGTCATAATCTTCAAATTGTTCATGAATCAGTAGACAAAGAATTTCTTGAACTGGCATCAAGGATAAATGGAAATAAATCATTTAATAATAAACAGGTCAGATATCTTTATTTAGTTATTTTATTTCTCTTTTTGCCATATGTGACTGAAATATATTATATTATTATACATAAAACTCACTACAGGCTGTTAATGCACTCCGTGAACATTGGCAAAATTCTTCCCCAAAATCAATACCTCTAAAGGAGCTTAACCCCTAAACAGGTAAGAAAGTCTCCAATATAGATTATTTCTTATATGAAAAAGAGAAAAACAACACCAATACAAATAGAACCCAGTCATGTAAGTCCACTCTGATAGTAACCTGTCATTTAAAGGTTCTTCATGTTTCCAATGACTATGTTTGATAAAAAAAAATGAAAATGAACAGAAAGACTTCCTAATGATAATAATGAGGGTAAATTGATAATTTAAACTCAAAATGCTGCATTTCGCATAGGGCATCCAATTTGGAAATTTGTTCAATTATTGTGGGATGGAAACAATCAAACAACGTATATTTTATTGATATTATGTTGATAAGTTGCAAGTATTCTATGTTACCTATTTTAATAGAAGATCTAAGGAAGAATGAATATACTTACTGTACAAACCAAAGTAATGGGAAGGACAATGCAGAGGAAGTCGATTATTCGTCCTCAAAATCCCTCTTTTCTGTCAAATAAAATTACATGAATATGTCAAGGACAACATTAATAAACACCTATTAAATTGCAAGGGAAAATGATAGACCCGTGAACTCTGGGAAGTTATTTGTTTCAAGAAGTCGATCCAATGCCTCACGTCATCTGTTGTGGTCGGGTCGCCCGATGTTTGACCGCATCAGTGACTCTTGATGGTCGGGTCGCCTGTTCGGCATTTTGATCCTCCTTCACCTAAAAATCGAAATTAAACAAAATTACTATTTTACCCCTCAAACAAATTCTAAAGCATTATAAATAAAAAAAAAGATATGATTCTCACCTGATTAACAGTGTCAATCAACTGATTAACTGTCTCAGTCAGTGACTTGGCTGCCAGCTTCTTAAGATCCTCAAAAGCATCTTTCTCCTTCAACACATCTTCCTCACGAATGTCAGCTTCTTCAGCAGCCAAATCAACTTTTTTTTAGTTCTTTTCTATGGATTTTGACCATTTTCAAATCGACCCACTAACACCTAATAACTTTGACTTGTGGAGAGAAAACCCATGCTTTAACCTTGTATAGATCATCTCTCGCTTTCTTGAAACAAGCAGCTTGGGACTGGAACAACAATCAAATCAAAATTTCTCAAACAAATAAAATATAGGGTTTAGAGCTCATTTTAGAGCCAACTGATATGAAGGAAAAAAAACCTCATGATACAGATATGCCTTGACCCCCTTTAGCCCATGCCACATTACAGACCCAATCAGCTTGTGGCTTACTACAGAGAGAACCTAAATTCAAATCTCTAACACATAATTTGAAGAAATTGTTGTCTTTGTCATACATGATGTATGCAATGAATCGATGACCAGGTGAGACTTCTGCTACCTCTTCATATGCATAACCTAAATGAAGTCATGTTAATAGATTAAATGAAGTGGAAGAGAATTAGAGATCATTGAAAGATGTTGAAATGATACTGGAATTGGAATTACCCCAAATCTTTCTGCTTCTTGATTATAATCGATGAGTTTTTGTTCAATCCTCTTCCTGGAGATGAAATCGAACCCACCTGTTGGACTTTTATGTGAAATGAACTCTTCGTTTAGGCTAGCTAATCTCCTACAGAGTAATGGATATTGTTTCCCTTCCTCTACTCTCCTGTAATACAACCTGAATTTCACCTCCAAATTGCCAAAGAAGAACACGGAATTTGAATTCGGATCCAAAAGAAATCAACAAGCATTAGATGAAGTGCAATTTGAAATTGATGGTACCAGGGCCCCCAGCGAAATGGAGGAGTGGAGAGCTGAGAAGACATGCGAGATGCTATTTTTGATTGGAGTTTGGATTGAAGGCGATCGGAGTCTGCTAAAATAGCTTCAATCGAATGGCGCTGATGTAAGGAGTCACATAACCTTCAATCGAAGGTGTTTTGCGTGAGAGGAGCTGTTGGATCTCTCTGAACAATTTATTGAGAAGTGGTTCAAAGCCCTAGTTCTTTTCGTCGAATGGCGCTGATGGAAAGCATATGGAGACTTGCGACATAGTGGATAGAGAAGATTAGTGTCTGATGGCGCTGATAAAAACATACGAGACAAACACTCTTTATAGATTCCATGGCCGCTTAGAGATGATGGGTTTCGATGCTGGTGATGGCGGCTTAGGGCTTGAAAAGAGAAGGGAGAGAGAGTGCAGATCAAGGTACAGGAACACGAGTTGCTTTAAAAGGATTGACAGCCTCACAATAGAATTAGGGTTCTTTGTTAGAATAGAATTCAGGTTCTTTGTTAGAGGATTGTAGAATGAGAGAAGTAGGCGGGTGTTTAATTTTTTGGGATTTCATTTCCCTCCATCGCCGATTAAAAAAAAGCGAGAACGCGCCTTCCTAAAAAAATATAAAGCGACATCTTTACACGACGCGCTTTTTATGGTAGGTGCCTTCCGTGTTTTTTTTGGACATTAATTTCCGGGCACGCAAAAATGCGCGCCCTCTATCCTTCACATTTTGCAAAGCTGACATTATTTTTTAGGGCACGTACAAATGCGCGTCGTCTATCAGCGCGTGTCATTGTTTGTGCGTCATTAAAGGCCTATTTTCTAGTTGTGAAAAAAACCGATGGTGTTATTTGTTTAAACAAAGTATTTAGAAAATAGATATATACTAGATATACAAGTACTACATGTATTCCCCCCAAAATTATGTAAAAGTAGGGCCGTAACACTCACCTTAATATTTGGTTGTCGAGTAATTGTTGCGAGAAAAAGAGAGATGTATTTCCATGAAGACGAATCATCGAGATTTATTTAGCTTCCTAGAATATTAACATAAATTAATATGTGAATGAGCATCTGGAAATTTAACCAAAGTCTAAGGTTCATTTACAAATTTAAATAAATCAAATTAGACTAAGTTTGTCAATACTTTTCAAAATGAGGGACTAAAATAATTTATTTAAATTCTAAGTTTAAGTTTTGGATTTATTTTGCAAATAAATCACAACGAGGGTCTAATTTAAATAAATAAAATGAAAGTTTGTTGATTTGCACTTGGTTTGTAAGGTATTTTCGAGTGAGGGTGAGTTGTGGACTTTTTAATTGATAGTTTAATGACTTAGGACCAGATTTGTAACTATTTCTCATATGAGGGTTAAAATAATTAATTAAAATCAAGGGAATGGCCAAACTTGTATTAGTCCGAAAGTTGGGGGTTATATTTAATTAAATCTAATGAAAGGTTGAGAATTAAGAGGGAAAGTATTTGGTGTATTTCCTTACGAACAAGAAAAATAAATAACTAAATAAACGTAATGGTCCTGTGGTTTCTTGTCAGCGACGAAGGGCAAGCAAAACAAAAAAATGATCAAAAGGGTGGTGGCAGTTACTTACCGCACAGGAGGTGATGGCCAGTGACATACGGTGCAGGGCACTCAGTGACAGTGGTGGTGTGTGATGATGATGAAGTCCGACAGCCTCTTGCTATCGGGTTTTTCTTAGTTCTCCGGCGAGTGTGATCAGGACAGAGGGAGGGTGGGGAAGGTTACTAAGCTGTTCACAGCTACAAAGGAAGGTGGTGGAGGTGGTTTTAGAGAGAGATAGGGACGTTTTAGAGGAAGAGAAGATAGCTGGAAGTTTTGTGAGGAAGATGAGGGTCCAAGGGTCCCTTTTATAGACATGAACACACAAGTACACTCATCATATGATCCATACCTTCTTTCAAATCACAACCCATGCTTTGTACCATTTAGAAAGAGTGTAAGCAAAAGATGATGGAGTATAGGATGAAGGAAGAATACGTGGGTAAGGGGTGAGAATAAGCTGGATATTTTGGTTCCTACAAGCCTAGTGGGTCACACATTGGGTTGTATGTTCATTCATTAATTGCTCAAAAACATATAAAATCGGTTGCATCGGGATCCGTGTTTGGAGAATATTTTTAGAAAATACCTTTAGATAGAGTTTAATTTTAGGATTTCAGAACATCAAACAGATTAATTTTTGGAGTTACTAAACTCCGGGAAATTATGTTTGAAGTTTTGCGTCTAAACGGCTTGCGGTGTCCATTTTCACGACTTTTAAATATTTTTGTAAAAATTATTTAGAGTGTGAAATTAATTAATAGAATATAGCCTGAGTCCAAAAACGCTCTCGTAAATCCCGTCGGAAAAGCGTAAGTGCCTCAACGGATCGATTCAGGTTTACGCGATTAAAGACGATTAAAGAAAAACCAGTGTTTTACTGTCTGTTTTCTTAAAATTGCTATATCTTTTACATACAAACTCCGTTTTTGATGTTCTTTATATTTTCGGAAATAGTGGAACATGTACTATAATTTTTTAATGTTTGTTTTACTCAAAATTGTTCATTGCAAAATTTCAGTTTTTCTAATACGTTACTTAGCGTTTTCGTTTAAGCGGTTTGATTCGGTTGACGGTTTACCCATTTGGAAGTAAGGTATCATATGATATCATGTAATAATTGAAGTATAATTATTTATTTTTCATTAGATGCACTAAAACTCAGTAATTCGGATACACAAGAGATTCACGGATAGATTGTCGGTTATAATAATAGCCCGAAATTTCAGGTTGTCACAGAATACAAGCAAAAGTAGAAGGAAATCTTGTACTCAAATTTATTGTTTTCAGTTTAAATGTTTATATTCTGTATGTTTAGCTTTCAGACTAATCATAAATTTCTTGATAAAATGTTACAACCTAAATTATGTTTCATAATCTACGAATAATTCATACTAATCATCATTTAGAACTAATGCGAATACGAATACGAAAGTACAACTAGGAGCAGAACGAATATGAAAGTACAACTAGGAACAGAACGAATACGAAAGTATAACTAGGAATAGAACGAATAGGAATACTAAAGTAATAATGCGAATACAAATACGAATACGAATACAAATACGAATACAAATACAAACAGTACTAGAAGTAGGAATAGGGATACGAATACGACTGCGAATATGAATATGAATACGAATACGAATAGTATTAGGACTACAATTAGGGATAGGAATAGGACAGCGAATACGAATACGAATACGAATACAAATAGTATTAGGAGTAGGAATAGGGATACGAATACGACTGCGAGTGCGAATGCGAATACGAATACGAATACGAATACGAGTAGGATTAGGATTAGGAGTAGGAATACGAATACGAATGTGAATACGAATATGAATAGGACTACAAATATAAATACGAATACAAATATAAATATATAAAATTGAATATGATTAAGAATAGAAATACGAATACGAAGGCAAGCATCTAGGTACATTCAAGTGTAACACCATTATGATATCAGAATACCTAACTAATATAACAAGTACGAAAGGTAATCAAACATTTCATACTTATATCAAATGTCTCATTCAAAGATTTACTTGGCATTCATAACAGCTTTCCAAAAGAAGGCAATGACACTTAAATACTTATGAATTGACCAGTTTATGCTGATACTCGCTTTCAAAATAACTTGTATTCTCAGGTCACAAGTAGACAGGTACAATGGCCAGGTTTTCAGAAGATGGATCATAGACAAGACTCATATTTTATTTTGATTTCATATTTTGGTGTCTTATTACTATTAAACAACACACATGTATTAAATATTTACTTTTAATGCAATGTATGATGTTGCTTCTTGTTTACTACTTTGCATTGTTGTGATACTGTACATGATGTCCTCCACCCCTGAACATTTTCACCGTTCTTGGTTTTGTGGTGTGACAGATATCGACATGCTTCTTAATCTTCGTTAGGGGAAAAGTTCATTACCTTAAACATTTTATGTTTTTCCATCAAAATTTGGTAGTTAACATGTAGGTATAACACATGATATTACCTTGATGCCCAAGGTATGAATTGAACAAAGAAGAAGAAAAGAACAAGAATGACGAATTACTTGGTGAACTTTATTATTGTAAAAATTATCTTAAACATCCTAAACATTAACCTTTTTTATACTAATGAATGTAGTAACCTAAACCAATACGTAATACTTGTTAAGCAAGCAGACAAGTTCCTAATTTAAGTGTAACACGTAAAAATCAGGTATACCTTGTGAACCCTAGTCTTTAAGCATTTGTCCAATTTGGCCCTTGTTAAAGGGAAGAGTAGTAGATGGGTACCTGGGACATACTGCGGTGTACGCTCAGCTTACTCTTGCATGTGTTTGGTCGCGGAGGGTTGCCTAGTGCGTGGGGCGTACTAGGCCCAAAAAGAAA